CACCCCCCGCTCCCCAGGCTGGGGAAGGGGTGCGGGAGGCGCAGCCCGGCCTGGCCCTCACAGCGCCTCTCCACGCAGTCCATCGAGGGCTCCATGGTGACCCTGAGCCAGGGCCAGTGGATGGGGCTGCCGGACCTGGACGTCAAGGACTGGATCCTGAAGAAACGCAGGTGAGGCCACCCTGCAGACCCATCTGCCCACTCCTCCTCCCCGCTGCAGAAGGGGAAACTGAGGCTTGAGGAGGGACAGGGCTGCCCAGGTCCGCAGGAGGGGCGGGCGGGCAGCGGCGTTTGCAGCCCTCCTCTTACTGGGCCTCATACTGGTCCCCGGGGAGCGCGGGAATGGAACACGGAACGCTCCGGCTGGCAGGGACTCTGCCCCGAGTCACGGCCCAGTCACGGCCCATCACCCGCAAACAACCCGCGGGCCAGGGGACATCCTGCCACTGTCTCCTGCCCCGAGGGGGACAGCAGACCCCGGGCCGTGCCCGGCCCGCCGAAGATCTCCAGTGGGAGGTCTCAGCTCACCATCCGCGTGGAAATACAGTGACGTAGCAGAGCTGGTGGCTGCGCTGACAGTCAGCTGACGACACGTGTCACGGACACCCGGGGCCTCCCCGGACTCCTTGGACCCCCGAGGTCATGGCGTGGTGGTCGGTGGTGAGATGCCCACCGGGCCACTCACGAGTGGGCATACTGAGGCATGGGCGTTGGGGGCTCCCGGCGGAGGAGCCGGCCCAGCCGTCCTGCGGCGGTGTCTTGTGGGCTCCACGTTACACGTGGGGTGGGGGGACAGAGGCTCTGTGGGGCTGGCCCGCAGGTCCCCGGGGCCCTGCTGACCACCCCCCGCCCTCCCCCAGGGGCCTTCGCAACAGCCGGGCCACAGCAGGGGACATGGCGCACTACTACCAGGACTACGTGACCAGGAAGGGCCTGGGCCCCCGCTTCGTGTCAGGCGCAGAGGTCACAGCGGTGGAGTGGGAGGGGTCCGAGCCGGGCAGCCCGGCCGCGCCCGCGCCCGGCCCCCTCTTCCGGGTGAGCGGCTTCCTGGCGGCCGAGGACCGGCCCCGGCGGCCCTTCGCGCTGTGGGCCCACAACGTGGTGCTGGCCACGGGCACCTTCGACAGCCCGGCCCGGCTGGCCATCCCCGGGGAGGCCCTGCCCTTCGTCCACCACGAGCTGTCGGCCCTGGAGGCGGCCGTGCGGGCGGGCGCCGTGACCCCCGCCTCGGACCCCATCCTCGTCGTGGGCGCGGGGCTGTCTGCGGCCGACGCGGTGCTCTACGCGCGCCACTACAACATCCCGGTGATCCACGCCTTCCGCCGGCCCGTGGAGGACCCGGGCCTGGTGTTCAACCAGCTGCCCAGGATGCTGTACCCCGAGTACCACAAGGTGCACCAGATGATGCGCGAGCAGTCCATCCTGTCCCCCAGCCCCTACCAGGGCTACCGCAGCCTCCCCGAGCACCGGCCGCTGCTCTTCAAGGAGGGCGGCCAGGCCGTGTTCCGGGACCCGCGGGGCGGCCAGCAGGTGTTCAGCACCTCCCTGGTGCTGGTGCTCATCGGCTCGCACCCCGACCTCTCCTTCCTCCCCGGGGCGGGCGCCGACCTCACCGTGGACCCCACGCAGCCCCCGAGCGCCAAGAGGAACCCCATCGACGTGGACCCCTACACCTACCAGAGCGCCCAGCAGGAGGGCCTGTACGCGCTCGGGCCCCTGGCCGGGGACAACTTCGTGCGGTTCGTGCAGGGCGGGGCCCTGGCGGCGGCCAGCTCCCTGCTGAGGAAGGCGCCCCGCAAGCCGCCCTAGCGCCCCGCGCCGCCCGCCGCATGTCCTGACGCCCGGGCTCTGACGGGGGAGGAGCGCCGGCCTGCGCGAGCGAGCGCCGGCGGGGCGCCGGCGGGGAGCCTGCGGGAAGGCCGCTCCTGGCGGGAGAAGGGCGCCGCCCGCCCCGCGCCGCGCCCGGCCGATCGAGACCCCAGGCGGGCGAGGCGGCGGCGGGGCTGCGGCCAGGCGGCCGAATGGGCGGGGGTCACCAGACCAGCTGGACGCCCACGGGGAGGCCTGGAGCCCGCTCCTAGGAACAGGCCCCAATAAAGCCAGTGTTCGTCTCCACCGGTGCCTGAGGTCTGCGTGTGCGCGCGGGGATGGGGGGCAGGGCTGGGGATGGAGGTGGGGGTCAGGGGAGGGGGGCTCAGGGAACAGTGCGCGATAGGGGGCTGCAGCCCGGCTCGGCCCTCCGGCCACTCCACCAGCTGCCCCTCGCTCGATCCCCGGCCCCCCACCCGTGCCGGCCGCAGGGCCTTTGCGCCGGGCACAGGTGTCTGGCCCAGGCCCCCTCCCTCGCCGGCTCCCCGTGCTCCTCGGCTCGGCCTCCCCCCGTTTCTCCGCGTCCTGGGGGTCGTCCCTGGCCTGGCTCCGCCTCTTGGCAGGGAGCCCGGGGGCCCAGGGCGGCCCCTCCCCGGAGCCCAGCCCGG